CTTTGTGGATACTCAAAGAGCAGTAAGTGATAAAATGGAGTCACGTGTGAGACAAGATAAGTGTTCATCAGATGTTTGTCAGTTACCCTACGGAAAATCGAGGTCTCTGATTGGAGACGAAACCAGCCAATCACTGGCTCGTATGTAAATGCATACTGATGGCGAATGTAACTTTTTGAGCCAATCAAATCCAAACATAATTCTTTTCCAACTAGAGCTAATTTTCCGTCGGGAAAGGTTCTAGGTACGAAAATAATATGTATTACACTTAACCAACAAAACCTCAAAAAAGGACATCATAGGCATGTAGGTTACTAATATCTCTTGCAGGCCATTTACTACAGACAGTGTTTGCGATCGGCAAAAACACACATGGTTAAAATGACGTTAACATTTTAGATAATAAAACGACCGACTTGAGGTAAGACAAAACATGTTTCGTCATCCTTAACTTATAGTGATTCTAAGTCTAGAAATGATATATAGGATTAAAAGGCCATGATTGTCAACTGGTGTAATATTTGATTTGAACTAACACTTAAAGTTTAAAATAATTGAAATTCATTATAATTGTATGAGGGAGTAGCTGATCCCATTAAAGAGTGCTCAATACACATAAAGTGTAGAGCTAGTTATATATATGATATCAAAGAGGCAAGATTTTGCTGTAACTCCGAGTTTCGTGCTACGCACTCATCAGACAGTATTTAATGATAAACATTCCTATAATCTATATATATAAATGGTTATAGAACAAAAGGCTAAGTGCTAGGCTATTTACATACAATACGTGATAGTTATGCTAGAAACAATAGGTGTGAAGGCAAAAATTACAAAGGAGAGTATACTATTAATTAAAACTGCGTAGGTGTGAATACGTGTGAATACAATAGGCTGCAGAGGTGTCAAGTGTTCTTCAGTGTTTTCGTGTCGGCATTTAGAGATGAGTTCTGATCTTTTGTTTAGTACTCAAAACCTCTGCCTTACAGAAAAACTTATGATAATTAAACACAGTAACGACAATATGTCGTTACTGTGTTTAATTATCATAAGTTTTTCTGTAAGGCAGAGGTCGCATCGTTTGGATATGTTGTTGTAGGGTCTTGCACGGCTGATAATTGTCCATTTGATGTTGAAATCTTGTTTTTTCGTCCTTTAGTTGCCAGATGTACTTAGAAAGTTCGGTGGTGTTGA